CGGGTTCTGGCAGGAGTGCGGCAGGGTTCCCGCCGCGGCGCCGCTGCGGCGACCCCAACGCGGGCTTTCACGAAAGAACGCCGGCGGCGGCTCAGAGCTGCTTGCCATCGGACCATCTGCGCCATGGAGATCGTTCCGGGCGGAACGGTGCACGCGGTGTCAGAAAACAGCGGCGACGTCGTCGCTACTCGATCCCGCCGTCTCGGCATACCCAAGTGGCCCCGTGCTCGCTTCCCTCGAGTGCGGCTGGCCAAGCTTCGACTCGCTAACCTTCTCGCCTCCCCTCTCCTTCCTCCTTTGCCGCTTCGCTGCTGGTGCCTTCTCGTGTGGCGTTCTGCCCAGCGGTGTTCCGTCTCACTCTAGACTACCACTCGTGCAGTGTACGTGCATGTGGCCAGCATTTTTTGGGGGGGAGTCGTCTCAGGGGTACCTGGGGTGGGGAGAGGCCCAGGGGCAGATGCAGTGACCCCCGAGCGCCCTGACCCCCATGACCGCAGATGGGGGCGCGATAGAACGTGTGGCTTCGCTGTCGGGGGTCTATCGCTGATCCATCGGCGATGTCTTGCTGCTTCGAGCTCGACGTACCCCCCCCCCCCCGGAGCCAGCTCCCCCCCCCTGACGTCGCCTCGTGGTTTTCGGGACAGCTCGGCTCTCCGGCGGCCGTCTGGGGTGATCCGGGCCCCCACCCCAACACGCCCTTCGGCGAGGCGCAGACGTTGGGAGGCATCCCGAGGCTGGAGAGGCGCCGAGAGCCGACGAGACCTCCCGAAGACCCCGCACCTCGAGCGGGAGGCGGGGTGCTTTTGGGTGCTGGCAGCGGTGGCACCTCCCGAGAGTCCTCAGGACGTGCCTCGGCCCGGGCGTGCGTCTGCCCAGCCCGGCTCCGCCGGTGGCGTGCAGCCCGTGTCCGCCCCGGTTGCGCCGCCTGCGTCGCACTGCAGGGCCTCGGTGGACACTCACGCGTCGGCGCTGGAGTCAACGCGCCCAGTGAGGACGCGCGCCTTCATGTAGTGCACCCTCGTGGTCCCCTTGCCTCTGGAGCCCGTTTCTTTATTGCTTGGGGCATGACGGGCGTCATGGCCCCCGCTCCCCCCCCCCTATGACGTAACGCCCCCCCCCCCAGTGCGCTCCGGGCACTGCCGCCGTGCGCACTGGGATCGGCGTAGGTGTCCGCGTAGGAATCCGCATAGGTGTCTGGTCCGCAGGCGTCGTCGTCGTCGTCGTCGTCGTCGTCGTCGTCGTCGTCGTCGTCGTCGTCGTCGTCGTCCGTCGTCGTCGCTCGTGGTTCGTCGCTCGTCGCTCATCGTCGTTTTGCGCGCGGACGCGGGCGGAGCCTGTTTTTTAGTCCGGGCCGATGACGGCAATCATCTGGGGGGGAGGGGGTCGATGACGTCACGTTTCGCGCAGGCGGCGTCTGGGAATGCTTAGGACTGACGGAGGACGGGTAGCACGAACATGTAGGTGGCGATATGCACCACAACGCCTGTGTACATCACAGTGCCCGCGTGCACCGCAGCGCCTGTGTACACCACACAGCCGATGTACACCACAGCAGCCGCGTGCAACACAGCGTCAGTTTGTGCCACCGTGCCTGCGGGCACAGCAGCTCCTGCGTACACCACAGCGCCTCCGTACCCCACATCAGCCGTGCGCAACACAGCACCAGTGTACACCACAATTCCTGCGTGCATTGCAGTGCCTGTGTACGCCACGGCGCCTGTGTGCACCACATCAGCCGTGTGCAACACAGCACCAGTGTTGTGTATAGAATTTCAGAAGGGATCCTTGTGACAAAATGGAGCGCGTGTGGATTCCAGAGAAAACAATGGAAAACAAATCCTCATGGACACAGGAGCGCCGCTGGAATCTACGAGTCCCCCCGGGTCTGCCCGCATCACCCTAACTCCCATTTGCGTCCAGGAGGCTCCAGCTAAACTGGCCGTCCGAGAACCAAGTGGACCGATTCAATCGACCATTCTGCGGTGCACGCTGAGATGCGTAACGCCAAGCCGCACGACAGGGGGTAAGAAGGAGGAAAAGGAGGAGGAGGAGGAGGAGGAGGAGGAGGAGGAGGAGGAGGAGGAGGAGGTGGAGGAGGAGGGAGGAGGGAAAAACGTCGCATTCGATTCTCAGAACTTTCCTGGCGTGGCGTTTAGTTGTCCGCAGCAGATCCTGACCTACATGCTCCTTCTATTTGTCCTGTGCACGCAGGCGCTGTGGTGTACACCAGCGCTGCGTTGCACGCGGATGCTGTGGTGTAGACAGGCGCTGTGGCGTGCACAGGCGCTGCGGTGCACGCAAGCACTGTGGTGTACACAGGCGTTGTGTCCACATGGTTGCTGCGGTGTATGTACACCGGCGCTGTAGTGCTCCCAAGTGTTGTGGTATACACGGGCGGTGCGTTGCACACGGCTGTTGCGGTGTACGCAGGCGCTGTGGTGCACACGCGCGGTGTGGTGCACGCGAGCGTTGTGGTGTACACAGGCGCAATGGGCAGATCGCCCCTTACATGCTGCTCGCGTCGTCGTCGTCGCTCGTCGCTCGTCGCTCGTCGCGTCGTGCGCGCGGGCCCGGCTGTGGTGCCGGAGCCACTCGGCGGGGGGGGGCGTCACGTCATACCCCCCCCGCCCTCCCCCCCCCATGACGCCCGTCATCGCCGAACATAAAGAAACGCGCTCCTGCTGCCCGTCCTTTGCCGTTCTCTCACTGGTCGCCCGCCGCCCGAACACACCCCTTGGCTCTCCCAGGGTCCTGCGCCCTCGCCGCCCGTCGTGAGTACACGCTTTGATTGTACATAACACGTTCCGAGGACCATCGAACCTTAACCGATCTGGCGTTGCGCACGCCTCCCTCCCGCGCACAGCCGGCCCCGTCGGCCAGACGCTCCAGGACGAGCGCGGCGCCCGCCTCCCCCCCCGCGCGCGCGCTCGCGCGCTGTGCGGGGAGCCACCCCCGCAACAAAAAGAGCCCGCCCCCTCTTTCCCCGCCCGTCTCTCTTTCCCCCCCCCCCCCCCCGCCCACCCTCTCTCTCTCTCCCTCCCCCTGCCTCTCCTCCTCCCTCTCCTCCTTCCTCTCCTCCTTCCTCTCCTCTCCTACCTCTCCTCGTCCTCCCCCCCCTCCTTCTCCTGCCTTCCTTCCTCGGCCCCGTGCTCCCCTCTCCTCCCCCCCCCCTCCTCCGAGCCCCCCGCCCCCCCCCCTCGCTGCGCCGCCTCGGCCGGCGCAGGCTGCTCATGCTGCTCTGGTCGTCCCAGCACCTCCTCGAGGGGGTGGTGGACCTTCCTTCCTCCTTTCCCCTTCCCTCCTCCTTCCTTCCTCCTTTCTCCCTTCCTTCTCCTTCCTTCCTTCCTTCCTTCCTCCTCCTCCCCCCCCCTTCCTTCTCCTTCCCTCCTGCCTCCCTCCTTCCTTCCTTCCTTCCTCCGATCCCCTCCCCCTCCTGCTGCCGGAGACTGCTCATCCTGCTCTGGTCGTCCCAGCACCTCCTCAAGGGGGTGGTGAACCAGTTCCAGTCGTCGGCCGTGATGTTCCTCCTGCAGGACCCGAGGGCTGGGAACACGTCGGGCCCGTCCCTTTACACGTTGTTCATTTCTAGTTCCTCGAAAGCTCTTTGATTTTTCGGGGGCCAAAATCCTCTCATTTCTAATTGTTCTGTCCTGGGCCTCTTCCTGGCCACTGGGGGACCAGGAACAAGTAGAACCGAACACATTTAGAAAGGAGCACGATGAGAAATGAACGACGTGTACAGGATCAATATTCGAAAGTAGTCAAAACATAGTCTGGGGACGTTTTTTTGACCATTGCTGACCACCGAGAGCATTTTGTTCACTATTCTTTATTTTTCGTCCAACGTCCGTCTGTAGGGGGACATGCCCGACCTAAGACTAGTAGCATGGTGGAGGGATGGACGATCTTCGGTAGCAAAGCATGGGATCCTTGTGTACCCTCATAATTATGTTTTTAACGCCGACTAGCGTCGATTAACGTCTCGGAGTCGATGAGATATCGCCATTTGGCGTCGTTCAGCGCCAATCAGCGTCAATTTAGCGTCGATTCGCGTCGATGTAGCGTCGATTAGCGTCGACTCGCAAGAGCCGACAAGATGGTGTGGGAGGCTCCCACGAGTTGACACCGAAGATGATCGAGGAGTGGATGGGGGGAGGCAGGAGAAAGGTACTTTATTAGTGAATTTGATTGGTTTTAGGGTTTTAACACATGGTCGCAGCCACGCAGAAGGCGTGCGTAGCGACGCCCCGAATGCTCGGTCTCCAGTACTTCTACGTGGCGGCGCCCCCGCAGGCACGCACGGGGCACGCGTGGCGACGGGGGCGTCGCCACGCAGAGCTTCTAAAGACCAAAAGGAGGAGGAGGAAGAGGAGAGGAGGAGGAGGAGGAGGAGGAGGAGGAGGAGAAACATTCTGAAAACCAATGGTTTCCACTACGAAAGTACAGCAGGCCAATCACACACGACGTCGGCCCGCCAGCAGGTGCCCCTACGGAGAGCTCTTCTCCCGCCCGATGGCCCCAGGGACCCGCAGAAGTTCTGCATCCTCAGGTCCCTCCTCCTCCTCCTCCTCCTCCTCCTCCTCCTCCCCTCCGCCACTCCTCCTCCTCCTCCCCCTCCTCCCCTCCTCCCCCCTCCTCCTCCTTCCTCCTCCCCTCCTCCTCCTCCTCCTCCTCCTCCTCCTCCTCCTCCCCCTCCTCCTCCTCCTCCTCCTCCTCCCCCTCCTGCTCCTCCTCCTCCTCCTGCTCCTGATCGACGAAGAGCGTTCCCACAAGATTCCTTATACCCAGACTTCGTAACAGCTGTGCCTACCGTAGGAGGGAGGGAGCAGAATGGGGGGGGGAGATGGAGCAGGATGAGCACCGTGGGCCATGACATATCCAACTTGTATCGGCGATGCCGGATGCTGCCGTGCACCCTCCCGTCCGAAATGTCCCCTCCGTATCGTTCCCTGCACGCACTTTTTTCTGTTGGCGCCGGGAGGCGCCCCCTTGAAAGGCGAGCGCCCCCGGTGCCGCAACTCAGACCGGAGCCCATTTTGAAAAAGGATGTGCCTTACGTCCTTCGAGCTAACGCGACGAGATGGGGCCATGAAGTCCATGGAACTGTCCAGCGACAGTTCCGCTCTGACGAGTACCTCCCTCCGCCCGTGTCGCAGTTGCCCAATCTCAGCATCGGGGCCGTCAGATCTATTGTCGTCTCAAGCAGCAGCCCAATTTTGAAGGGGATTCGATTTCCATGCGTGTAGCTGCTGCGTAATTTTGAACGTTTGTGGTGGTAGCACTTGATGAAGTCCAAGCGGGGTGGAGGGGGTGGGCTCAGGCCCCACCCAGCTGTATAATCTGTTTCGCCTTCCAGACACCAGCAACTTTCTACAAGGTCCCTTCTCGTTTCTCGTCCTCCTTCCTCCTCCTCCTCCTCCTCCTCCTCCTCCTCCTCCTCCTTCTCCTCCTCCTCCTCCTCCCCCCCCCTTTGGATCCACACTCTCCCATGCTCCTTCTCCCCCACTTCGTCCACCTCCCCTTCCTCCTGCCATCCCTCTGGCACGCGTGCAATTGGCCAAAAGCATCTGGGCGTCCTACTTCTCTTCCCTCTCCTTACTTCCGTGCTTCCTCCTCCTCGCCCTCCCCCTCTCATCCGCCGTCTCCTCCTCTCCCTGCCCTCCTTGCCCCCTTTCCTCCACTTTGCTGTCCTCCCCTGTCCGTGCCGAGGGTCTGGACATTCGTGCCCACGGTTGACCGAATCCCAGACCAAAACCGCGCACTGAATGCAGCACAGCTCACGACCGCTCGAGGCACGAACGTGGCCCGGCGAGTCAGCAAGGATCTGTGCAGGAGGTCGCCCCGTCTTGCTCGGGCCATCGCGGCGATCACATGGTCATTATTCCGGACGGTGATGATAATGATGAGGATGTTAGTAGCCATTTGGATGGCATGATGATGATGAGGATGAGGACGAGGATACTGGTGATGATGGTGATGATGCTGATGGTGATGATACTGATGATGCTTCTGGTGCTGCTGATGATGCTGATGGTGCTGATGCTGATGCTGGTTCTGATGCTGATGCTGATGCTGATGACGACGACGTCGACGACGCCGATGATGACGATGACGATGGCGATGACGATGACGACGCTGATGCTGATGATGATGCTGCTTCTGCTGCTGTTGATGATGATGCAGATGTGACGATGATGAGGATGCTGATGCTGATGCCGATGACGACGACGTCGACGACGCAATGATGACGATGACGATGGCGATGACGATGACGACGCTGATGCTGATGATGATGCTGCTTCTGCTGCTGTTGATGATGCAGATGTGACGATGATGAGGATGATGATGCTGGTGGTGATGATGATGCTAGTAATGCTGATGATGTTGATTATGATGCTGTTGCTGAGTATGATGATGCAGTTGATGATTCTCATGATAATGATGATGCTGCTGATGATGCTGATGACGATGCTGGTGGTGATGACGATGGTGATGATGATGATGCTGATGACACTGATGATGATGATGATGATGATGATGATGATGCTGATCATGATTGGCTGATGGGGAGGATGAGGATGATCAGCAGTAGCTACCTCAGCGGCTTGGCACTTGGCTCTTCGGGTTCCCGACGGGAAGGAGTACAACGTGAGCGGCCCCAGCATGCAGATCTACACAAGGAGTCGTATAGCGATTCCCTGCCGTCTTTCGCTCCTGGCTGTCAGCCAGGGAGGTAAGGATAACTAGGAGTAAGGGGGAAGTAGGAGGAGCAGGAGGAGGAAGAGGAGGAGGATGAGGAGGAGGAAAAGAGAGTGACAATGATGAACAGTGGGCTGAGGGGGACGATGATCATGCTGCTGCTGATGATGATGCTGATGATAAGTGTGATGATAATGCTGATGCTGATGATGATGACTCTGCTGCTGATGGTTATGATGATGATGTGGATGATTGCAGACGGTGATGGTGCAGCGTACACGTGATCTGACGACGATGGTGACGATGGCGATGCTCATGGTGCGGAGGGGGATGAGGAGCGCGGTTGATGATACATAGGGGCGATGCTGACACTGGGAAAGGACTGCTGATGATGCTGATGCTGTTGCGCCTGATGATGCTGACTCTGTTGATGGCAGTGTTGATAATTGGACTTATGATGAGGAGGATGATGATGAGAAGGATGATCACGAGGAGAAGGAGGAGGAGGAGGAGTAGGATGATGCGGAGGAGGAGGACGAGGAGGAGGAGGAGGAAGAGTTGGATGATGATTGTTACTGGTAGTATGCTTGTTTCCCTTGCAATCAATATCTGTACTCGGGAGGGTAAGGCTCCTGATGATGAAGCTCTTAACGAGGGTGAGGGCGACCAGGATTATGACGACGACGGTGATGACGACGTCGATGCTGATAATGCTGATGACGCTGATGCTGATTTCAGGTGAGGATGGGGAGGACGCCGGGGATGGGGATGATGCTGACGATGCTAATTCTGCTTATGCTGATGACGACGATGAAGACGATGATGATGCTGCTGCTTCTGATGCTGATGATGTGGATGATGATGATAGTGATTGTGATGCTTATGATGATGGTGATGATGATGTAGATGTTCACGATGATGATGCTGACGATGCTTCTGCTACTGCTGCTGCTGGTCCTGAACATGGTGATGCTTCTGATGATGATGCTGATGTTGTTGCTGCTGATGATGATGATGTTGTTGCTGATGCTGATGCTGATGATGCTGATGATGATGCTGCGCGTTATGATGCTGATTATGTTGATGGCAATGGCGATATTGTGACTTTTATGATGATAATAATGAGGATGATGATGAAGAGGATGATCACGAAGAGGAGGAGGAGGAGGAATAACAGGATGATGCGGACGAGGAGGACGAGTAGGTGGAGGAGGAGGAGGAAGAGATGGATGATGCTGACTGCTGGTAGTATGTTTCTTATTCCTTGATATCAGTATCTGTACTCGGGAGGGTACGGCTGAGACTGAGGCTGATGATGCGGCTGATGAAGATGATACTGCTGATGGTGATGGTGGTGGTGGTGATGCTCCTGATGATGAGGATGACGACGAGGATGAGAGCGACACGGACTATGACGACGCCGGCGACGACGATGCTGATGATGATGATGCTGATGCTGATGATGATGATGCTGATTTCACTGATACAGATGAGGAGGATGCCGGGGATGGGTATGCTGCTTACGATGATGATGCTGATGCTGATGACGATGATGAAGGAGATGCTGATACTGCGGCTGGTGCTGATGATGAGGATGGCGCTGATGCGGATGATTATGATGCTGGTGATGCTGACAACGCTTATGATTATCATGATGATGATGGTGCCGATGCCGACGACGACGATGATGATGCTGATGCTGCTGATGATGATGCTGATCTTGTTGCTGCTGTTGATGCTGATGCTGATGCTGATGATGATGGTTATGCTAATGATGGAGATGCTGCTGCTGATACGGATGATGCTGATGATGAGGATGATGTTGCTGATGCTGATGTTGATGGCGATGGTGTTGATGACGCTGCTGATGATGATGATTCTGCTGAGGATGACGACGATGCTCACGATGATGATGCTGATGATTGCGATACTGATTTTGATGATGATGGTGTTGCTGTTGATGATGATGCTGATCATGGCTATCACGATGCGGATGACGATGCTGCTGATGAGGCTGACGAGGCTGAGGATGATGCTGTTGTTGATGCTGCTGATGCTGATGCTGATAATGATGCTGCAGATGATGCTGATGCTGATGATGAAGATGATGCTGCTGATGATGATGCTGATGCTGATGCTGATGATGATGATGACGATGATGACGAGGATGATGACGATGATGATGATGATGATGATGATGATGATGATGCTGATGCTGATGCTGATGATGATGATGATGATGATGATGATGATGGTGATGGTGGTGGTGGTGCTGCTGCTGATGATGATGGTGGTGATGATGATGCTGATGATGATGGTGATGATGCGAAGGATGAAGATGAGGAGGAGGTGGAGGAGGAGGAGGAGGAGGAGCAGGAGAAGGATGAGGAGCAGGAGGAGGAGGAGGAGGAGGAGGAAGGGGTTGAGGTGGAGGAGGTGGAACGGTGGAGGATGAGGAGACGGAGGATGATGACACCAACGGTCTTGGTGCTGGTGATAATGGCACTGGTGGTGGTTGTGATGCTGACGAGGAGGTGGATGGAGATACCGCTTCTCAATCTCGATTGCTCTTGTGCATCTTGTCCTACGACGACGGCCCTCTGCCACAGACCGTACATGCTGCCCTGTGGGGAATCCCCTGCGTCCTCGTGTGCGTGCGGACTCCAGCTCTCACCAGAAGACAGTCACTTACATTCTCCCCCCCCTTCCCCTGCCCCCCACCCCCCCTCTCCTCGTCCTTCTCGCTCGCCCTCCTCCTCCCTTCCCCCCTGCCCCCCCCTCTTCTCGTCCTCCTTGTCCTCCTCCTGCTCCCTGCCCTCCTCCTCGTGCTCGGAGGTCTGCGAGGGCCCGCCGAGCCCCCCCAGGGGTCCTCTGGAGGCCCAGCCCAGGAAGGCGTTGGGAGCCCCCGATCCCCCCTCCTGCCCGCGGGCTCCCGCCGAGGGACGGCCGCGCTCCTGCGCGGCACGCGTCGCGGCCCCGGGCACGAGCCCGTCGGGGCATCCTCTGAGGCCGTGGCCGTCTGGCAGGGGGGTGGCGGCGCGGGGCGAGGATATCGAGGTGGAGGGGGAGGAGGAGGAGGAGGAGGCGGAGGAGGAGGAGGAGGAGGCGGAGGAGGTGGAGGAGGGAGGAGGCGGAGGAGGAGGAGGAGGTGGAGGAGGAGGATAAGGAGGTGGATGAGGGAGTGAAGGGGGATTTTTGCTGCCCGCGCGCCGACTGCTGGCGCGCGGCATCGGGGGGGAGGGGGGCGCTTGCGGAGCTCCGCTTAGTCGCAGCAGGGTTCTACAGTATGCTACTGCTGCGT